CTGCAGGGGGTTGTTGGGTGGTTTCCATCACCTCACCCCCTTTCTTCTCCAGAGGAATCCTTTGATGAAGACAGCTTTGATGAGGAAGCATATTATGCAGCCTTGGGAACTCGTCCTGCTCTCAACATGGAGGAGCTGGACTCCTCCTACCAGCACATGATTGATCTTTTCTCTGTCTGCACCAGTGAGGAGCCCAAAAAACGTCCTTCAGCTGCACAGATCGTGGAGGTTCTGGAAGGAAATTGGCCCCAGGAGTAAAAAAATCCAAGCTCCAGGAGCTCAGGGATTGGATTTAGATCCTTCCAGGACCTGCAACCAGCTCTGTGGTATAAAAACCAGAGCCTCATTAGCACTAACCCTCATTTAGGCCTGATTTGGGCTCCTTCTGCTTCTTGGAGGCATCTCCCTGCCCTTCAGTCCTTACCCTAAGCCCTAGTTTTGGTTTCTAGTTGTCCATTGAAGGCCTTTTTCAACCCTTCCTCTCTCTCTTCATGTTGAGCATCAGGTATGGTGACCAAGATGTTAAAAATAAATGGTTTTTTTTTTTCATCTTGTGGGTTTTTTGAGCCTTTTTTGGGGGGTGTGGAAGGTCTTGGGTGAAGTGTTTGTGCTCCTGAGGTGGTTGAGGGCAGGAGAACAGGAGAAAAGATGTGAGGTAAGAGGCATCATGCCATGGTATAAAAGGGTGTAGGGCTAAGAGGAAAAAAAAAAGCCATTTCTTGGGGATTTATTAAAGAAAAAGACCAAATTCCTGCCCCTGGCTGGCTGCTGGAGAAGAAGAGGTCACCCCAGATCCTGGTCCTGCAGCCCCTTGGCTTCTGTTGGCTCTTCCTTCTCCAGCACTGGAACCATTCCCACGTGTCTCAGCATCTCCCAGTTTCTCCAGCAGCTTCCAACCCCTGGAGGCTCCCAGGGCTCCTGCCCCTGGGGCAAATCCTGCCCCAAATGGGGTCTTGGAAAACATCTCCTGCTCCTCCAAGGTGGAAAAGCAGCAACACCTTGACCCAGAGGCTTCTAAACCCAAGACAATCCCTCTATAAGACCTCACACACCACAGGGGAGCTAGCTCAGAACTCCCCCCACCAAAGAGAAAACATATATTAATTAAACCTTTGGAAGAAATTAACTTACTCACCATAAAATCAACACTTGGAGAAGAAACCAACCTACCTGTGACCCCCACCACGACGCTGTACACCCAATACCAACCCCCTCCTTGAGCCCTCATTTTGGCCTGGAGGAAGCCGAGGGGACATCCCACCAGGCTAAACTCCTCCCCAAAAGTACCTCCTGGCTCCGTGGCCCTCTGCTGGCAGTGAGCCTGAGCCTCCCCCTCAGGGCTGAGAGAGGAAATTGTACACCAGGAAGTTGGGGGTTTGGCAGTAGCTGGAGGCAAAGGCCCTGCCGGCGGGGGTGGGGTCGGAGAAGGCGATTTCCCCCGGGCTCAGGTAGCAGCCGAACATGAAGGTGCTCCTGGAAAAAGAGAGAGAGAGAGAGGAGAGATGTCCCCACCCGCTGCTGGCTTCATCTCACCCCCAAAAATGTCCCACCCCGGGGTGGTCCCTGCCCCGGCCCTGCCCTCCGGGGAGTTCTGAT